ACTATTCTTTTTTTTTTTTTTTTATTAGACTTTGGCGATCTCTAGTAATCCAACTTTTATAATACAGTTTAACATTTAGAACTTGCATGAGGACACTTCTATTTTCAATGTCAATGTTGGAAAACCAATTGTACAACGTTTCATCACTCATCAGGTGTCAGATATTGGAGTTTAGTTCTTAGTTTAGTTATAGGGAAAATGTCCAGAAGTAGCAGAACCAAAGTTCACAGAAAATTCATCTTAATTCATGATTTGCGTGCCATATTGAAGCCAATGTAAGAATCGGTCTGAAATTTACAAAGAATATTTTTAATTATTTATTTATATTAGCTTTGTAAGGTATGAGATCTCTGATTTTTTGTTTTAGCTAGCATTGAAGAGAACTATGCTACAAAAAGTACAGCTCTTTCTCCTTTTCATGCACCAAATCGATATCTATGGTTGCTCCCCCCTCTATCCCTGAACAAAGTAATGCACACATATATTGTAGAGCCATAAAAATTCTGATGGCAGCCAAGATTTTTTCTTGAAAGCAGAGGAAACATCCAGCACTACCATCACTCTAGCGTTATCTGATTGTGCCTAAGTAAAAACAACCATTTCTCAAGAAGACGTTATTTGAACTGAAGTTACCGAGTTATAAATCAATGTACATCACGTGTACACAATAAAGTAGTCCTCTCTTGATTTCCAAGTGGAAGCTTGAATCCTGGCCAAATTGTCATGTTTTTAGGTCCTAATTTTTGTTACAAAAGATGTGGACTTGGAAAACATCTAGAATTTTGCCTTCTGACATTCTTCTAACAATGTAGCTCACACAACCATAAAATTAAGTAGATCTCTCTTGATTTCCAAGTAGATGTTGGTAGCTTGAATCCTTGCCAAATTATCATGTTTTTAAGTCAGGCCAAATTGTCATGTTTTTAGGTCCCCATTACAAAATAAACATAGGAAAAAAGTGGAGCTTGGAAACATTTTTTTCATCCAAAATTTTGCCCCTACACTCTCCTAAGAAGTTAGACTTAGAGATTACACATTTTGGTTAAAAATGAGGTTATACTTCTTAAGTCTATTTTTTCTGTGAATGAAGCATTTATTCATTCAAACTTCATGTAACAACTATTTAGAATTATAGTCTTAATTGCATATATTTTAATTTACAGTTTTTATCACCATGCAATAATTTGTTATTAATTAAATTTTACACATGCCATAGGTTTTTTTGTCAAATTGTTCACTTACAGATACAGGTTAGCTGTACTGCACCTGTATCTGATGTTACATGACTTGTACATTTGAGTACACAGCCCTAACCTGCATGTCATACCACCACCATTTGTCACAGAAACACTCAGAGTGATAGAGTATGCAGTGGTACATCTTATGTCCATCTAGTCTGAACTCCTAGTGCAAAAAGCAGGTCATGCCAAGCCCCATCCCATCAACTACCTGCTGGTTTGCTGCAGGAAAAATGAACTGTCAGATCTGGTAATCTCAGAGTCTCCGGAGGTCTCTGTACAAAAGCACGTTGGCAGAAAGTACTTCACCTACACGAAACCATGATTTTTCACGGTTTTCGTTGGATGTTTGGTCAACGTTGCATCAGAATTTTGTCTGTAACTTGCTGACGATATCTTTTCCGACACAACATTTGGAAACTACAGATGGGATGTTAACCTTAT